AGCATTACAGGCCTACCTCAAAAACAAAAAAACTTTGAAAAAGCTATCTAACCCTACAACTTAAAGAATTAGAAAGAGAACAAGAAAAGTCAAAAGTAGAAGGAAGGAAATAATAAATATCAGAGCTGAAATAAATGACATAGAAACTAAAAAAAAATAATAATAATAAGATCAATAAAACCTCCAAGACCTGGTTCTTTGAAAAGATAAACAAGATTGATGAAACTCTAGCCAGACTCATCAACAAAAAAGAGAGAGTACCCAAATAAACAAAATCAGAAATGAAAGAGGTGAAGTCACAACTGACCCCACAGAAATACAAAGAATCATGTAAAAAAAATACTATGAATGGCTATATTTCAATAAACTATACAACCTGGACATATTCTTTAAAAATGCAATCTTCTAAAACTAAATCAGGAAGATTCAGAAAACTGAATAGGCTGGTAACTACAAAAGCCCTGGTCTGAATGGCTTCACAGGGTAGTTTTCCCAAACATTCAAAGGAAAACTAACACCCATCCCCCTCAAACTATTCCAAAAAATGAAAAACGAAGAAACACTTCTAAGTTCTTTTTATGAGGCCAATATTACCCTAATTCCAAAATCAGATAAAGACATTACAAAGAAAGAGAATTACAGGCCAATATCCCTGATGAACACAGATGCTAAAATCCTCAACAAAATATTTGCAAATCACATCCAGCAATATATTAAAGAGATCATACACCATGACCAAGTGGGATTATTCCAGGAAAGCAAGGCTGGTACAATATTTGCAAATCAATAAATGTGATACATCATATAAACAGATTGCAAGACAAAAATCAGATGATCATTTTAATTGATGCAGAAAAGGCATTAGACAAAATCCAACACACTTTTTTGATAAAAACTCTCAGTAAAGTGGGAATGGAGGGATCATACCTCAACCTAATGAAGGCCATATCTGACAAGTCTACAGCCAACATCATACTCAATGGGCAAAAACTAAATCCATTTCCCCTAAGAACATGAACAAGATAGGGATGTTTGCTTTCACCACTCTTATTCAACACACTACTGGAAGTCCTAGCCATAGAAATCAGACAAGAAAACCTAAAAGACATCCAAATTTTAAAGGAGGAAGTAAAACTGTCATTATTTGCAGATGACATGATATTGTACATAGAAAACTGCCAGGGCTGACCAGCAGACCATGAGTGATGGATGAATGATTTTTTTGATGTATGTTTCTGTGAAAGAGAGGGCTAAGGGACTACCTGGCTAAAGGAATCAGAGAGGCCCATTTGCCTGTCTTCTTAGCCATTTATTGTAGCAACAGCTAGAACTAAAATTAACTATTAGATACTATTAACAGGGTAAGTATCCTTGAGAAAATACATGTATTTGTAGTGTCTTTTTAAAAAGGACATTTAAAGAATAAACATAAAGATTCCAGCAAAATATTCAGAGGATCAGACTTGTTTGAAAAAGTCAAGGCAGGGTCTGCCGCCTTTGGCAAGGTCCCCCTGGGGGCCTCTGACCTTTTGGAGAATTTTCCTTATAGACTTTCCAACCAAGTCCCGTGCTTCCCCACAGAAAACCCTAAAGACTCCATAAAAAAAAATACTAGATTTAATAAATGTTTGGCAATGTAGCAAGATACAAAATTAATCAATGACTTTTATACACCAACTAGAGGCCCGGAAATCAATGACTTTTTATACACCAACTAGAGGCCCAGTGCACAAAAATTTGTGCACGGGGGGGGGGGGGGGG